ACCAAGAAGGATGGTAAGAAGCAGAAGAAGGCTCGACCGATAGCGACGATTACCGATGCCTATTCATCATACGCCATCTACCCGCAGGCCAAGTCGCTGATTGACGCATCCACCCTGCTCAAGATCGAGGGCAATATCACCATCCACTCCGAGCCGCCTTCCTCGACCGAGGGCTTCGTGTTTATTATGCCCGAAACCCACCCTGCAGTCAGCGGCTTCGAGATGCTGCTGCGTTTCCTCTTCCCCACCTGGGACACTTTCGCCCTCTACGGCCGCCCCGGCAGACTGGTTGCCAGTGTTCTGGACCCCAGATCACTCATGTTCGCCATGCCCAAGCACCGAAGATACGGCTATCTCGAAATTCTGGATGTTTCTGGACTGATTCTGACGGAGGGAAGCTCGTCTTGGTCTGAGCGTGAATGGAGAAAGCAACTCAAGGAGCTGACTGGTAAGCGAATGAATGCTGTGGATGAGGCTGGAGGCACCAGACAAAGGAGCGGCAGCAAGAGAAGCAACCGCCTCAGCTTTGGCAATGGAACGTCAAGCCCTGTTCCAGCCAAACCCCGAGTTGGCTTTGCTGATGACGCCATCTCAAACCGTTCATCCCGATCCATGTCTTTGGGTGCTCCCAACCGTTCAGAGACTGCACCTGTCACCACTTCCCGCCCACCTCCTGCATTGGCTGGTCTGGGTCTGAACAAGGCGAACCACGCACGCAACTCCTCAGACCCCCATCTGCTGGTTCATGCACCCCCTCGCAACGAGGACAGAGGCTACGACAGCTCCTACAGCAATTCCTACAACAACTCACCTGCCCGTGGCCCGACCCCAGTTAAGGGTATCCTCCGCTCAGGCACCCAGAGTTCCGATGATGACACAGCTCGCAGCACCCCTGTGAGGGACTTGGAGAACAATGTCCGCTCCATGGAGTCTCCCGAGCCTGTTGCAGCTCCTCCTGCTTTCAACTACGGACCTCAGTCCAAGCCTGCAGGCAAGCCGTACCACTCACCTGATCTTCGCAGAGCTACCAGTCGCTTGTCCAACACGACCTTGTCCCAGCTGGCCAAGGCTGGAGGATTCGCTATTCCCCCTGATGATCGTTCGGAGAGTTCTTCTGAGCGCAGAAGTGGAGAGGACGCTGCAGGACCCAACCCATTGGTACAAACTCATGCCGCCAATAGTGTGGGAGGATCTGCTGACAACATCTTCACTGGTGAAGCTCTAACCCACAACACTCCCCCTCCTGCGGACTCGCTGCCGCCCCCTATCCCACCCATGAACCAGAAGCGTTCTCGATCTCCCCTTGCTCAGCACTCGTTCGGCCCCCCTAGCCCTCACCCTCGCGGTCCTCTGCCCCCCAACCCTCAATCCCGTGGCGCCCCTGATGCGAGACCCCCTCCCGACATGCGTCCTCCCCAAGACATGAGAGGCCCCCAGCAATTGAGAAGTACGGAGCAGCTTCGAAGCCCCGTCGAGGGTCAGCAGTCCCCATTCCCCCCTTACGATGCGAGGCCTCCCCCTGGCCCCGGTATGAGAGGCCCTCAACAGATGAGAAGCATCGAGCAGATGAGAAGCCCAGTTGAAGGTCGACCTCAGCCAAACTTCTCTCGCCCCGAGGGAACGAGAACCCCTCCGATCGGTGGTGACGGTCGGGTTCCGACGCCTGAGATGAGGAACCGGGGCATGACGGGACCTCCCCCGCCCCAGCATCGCACCCTGCCCCCGCTCAACACGGCAAATGCATTCCAGCGAAAGCCACTTCCAGCTCGCTCAGACAGCCTGAGAAGCCCACAAGAGACCCCGGTCTCGGCGTCCAGCGGTGGCAGCTGGGGAAACAACATCATCGATCAAGCTGCCTTCTCCCAAATCCGATACAACGATAGCCCTCGCCACACCCCCGTACCCGAGCAACAGATTCGCAGAAAGCCGACGACGCAAAGTGACAGCAGCTACTACGACGACAACGCATCCAATGTCAGCCCGGACTACGCCAGCCGCAAGTCGAGTGAAACCCAGCATTCCCAAAAGTCTTTCGAGAGACCCCGTGTTGGTGTTTTGAAGACAGTGGGCGGTGCCGATTCTGACTCTGGAAGCGAAAGGTTCAACATCCCCGAGGTCAACTTTGGCCCTACTCTCAACTACGGCGCCAACCAGCCAGCCAGAAACAAGACCCCTACCCCGATGAACCCGCAAGGAATTCCTGGACCTCAGAGACCCTTCTCACCCGCTCTGAAGTCACCTCCGCCTGAGGGCGGACACAACCGCCAGGAGTCCGAGGACACCATGAGAAAGGTCGCTTGGCAACCTGGTGCTGCTACCGTCGGAACTGGTCACGCTGGTCAGGGCATCAGTGCCGAGCAGTTTGTCCAGCAGCGCGCTGCTCAGGCGACTACTCCTATGTACGGCCACGGCCGCACTCCCTCTGGCAATGTTCTTACTATGCGATCGATGACGCCAACGCCCTCGATGACCCAGAACACTTCTGCCGAGAGACTGGCTCGCCACTCGCGCAGCAGTTCCGCGGATCTTCTTCAGCGACCTGGCTCTCGTGGTGCCAACGCCGTTCTCGACATGACGAACTCTGCCGAGGGCCCCTCTCACCTCTCTGCGCGCGAGCAAGAGCACGTGGCCCGCATGACTGGATCGCCCCTTATCAGCATGGCCGGAAACAGAAACGCCAACCAGGGACAAGGAGCCGGATTGGTAGGAGCAATCCAGGCTCGTGAGCGCGAGAGAATGCAGGCGAAGCAAGGCATGAACACGCAGGCGGTGCAGCAGGCTATCAACCAGCGGCAGCAGCAGCAGGCAATGGCCTACCAGCATCAGCTCCAGAGACAGCAGCAGCAACAGGTGCAACAGCAGCAGCAGCAACAGCAGGCTTATCAACAGCAGATGTACGCCCAGCAGCAGCAAATCATGTCTCCCATGTCACCGCAGCAGGGCATGTACGCTCAAAGCAACATGTCTCGCGGACAGATGGGACCCCCTCGTGGACAGCCGAACGTCTACGGTGCTCCTGCTCAAAACTTTGGCTATGGACAGCAGGGTGGCTACGCGCAAAGCAATGGCTTTAGTCAAGGAGCCAGCTATCCCCAGGGAGCTACCTACGCCAACCCAATGGCTATGCGCCAGGGACGCCAATCGCCTGGACCCCAGATGATGGACCCGAGATTCATGCCTCAGGGAGCCTACTCTCCCGGACCTCAGCAGGGCGGCAGACAACCCTACCAGGCACAGTACCAGGGCCAGGCTTTTTAACTGGTCTCACATATATGGAACGATGATGGAGGAGGTTAATGAAACACCCCAGTTGATACCAGGGACAAGGCACTACCACACAAGCCTTGACCACGGAAAAAAAAAAAAAAAGTGTATTATCATAGCGGGAGGAGAGTCCCACGGAAGGCGTTCGGGGGGAATGACAGCCACAGGCAAGTTGGCTGATGCATTGGTTTCTAGAGAGACTGGATAAGCATCTGGGTTTTTCTTTTGTCAAACGAGTAGAGTCAGAGTACAATAGCATGGCTGGCAAGTAGCATAACGATCAGTAGAGACGGCCGAAGACATATGACAAGAATGCATTGATTAACTTGATTGCCTGCCTGGTGCGTGATTGCTACTTTATTTGCTCTACCGACGGTTCTAGGGAGGGAGATATGATTCTTGCACGGACGCACTGCTGCCTTCTTCTCGGTCGATCATTTGCAGTGTTTATCCCTCGCCTAGGCAGTCGACGATGGACCGTTGTCGTTCACACGTCACGACCAAGACCAGCAGGATAGTCTCGAAACAGCTTGGACTGGTCTGCAATTATGGGACGGTCCAGCGGGGGGTATCAACCTAGGAGGTCTGCCGCCGCCAGCTTAATTAAGTTTAGGCATCGGGCAGGGAGTCATGACGAGGACCCTGTTGTGTCTGTGTGCTCGTCAAGCTCTTCTGCCGAGAAGAAAGTCTAGGACCCTGGCTTCCGGTTCTCAGGGGGTTGCGAGTCGCCACCGAGTGGCTGGCAAGCCATGGCTGGGCACCTCAGAGCTGGGCACCTCAGAGCTGGGCATCTATTGGTGCACGGTGCTTGTCTAGTCCTGCCAGCTACCTGAGATACGGGGGGCTAGTGCCTCTCTGTGGCATTCTGGTTCAGCGGAGTTTGGGTTCTGAGCAGGCTGCCTCGTGGACACTGGACGACCCGCCGAGTCTCAGACGGCTGACAGCCAGTGGCTCGTCGCACCCGCGCAAAAAGAGAGACATGTCGCTCTCGAGGCCAACCTTGAGTGCACGCACGCCCACCACGCCCACGCCTTCGCGTCCAGACGCCGTCATCTGACTTGTCGTTGACCATTTCTGCCACGGTCACGTCAACCGCGAGGCAATCGCGTCGATTGATGCATCTTGTTCCCGCGTGTGCGTGTTTGGTCTGTCCCCTGCCTGATACCTGCTATCCATCATTCGAGGTCTTCTCGTGTCTTGCTGTTTGCTGGCATGACGTCCTTGCAGCAGTCTTGATTTATAAAGGACGTTGCTGGGTGACGGCGGAAACAACCCCTCCACCACCAACCATCCACAGTATCCTGCGCAAAGTAACGTTCGCTCGTCCGCTCGCTCGCTACATCCTTGGCCTCCAATTTCAAGAATCTCTGGCGAACGACGCAAACACGACACAGAACCATACCCCGCCGATCGAGAGCCAAGGCGACCGGCCACCGAGTCCGACTTCGAGTCCACGTCCTCCCACCGAAGCCTGTAGCGCCTAAGGAAAAGCCCCCGACGAAAAAGCAAACATCACTAGACCTGTATGCGCATCTAGGGCTCTCGAAAGCATCACCACTTCTTTCCTTAGCCAACACTAATAAATGCATTATCCGCCACTTCAGTCCAGCCGCGCCTTTTCCTCGCACTGGACTTTTCCGATTGACCCCTTACGCCAGGCCGCCTGTCCCCGGTCTGCGGTCGCGACGGCAGCCTAGACGAGCCTCAGGAGCCTTTTCGTTCGCAAGCTGGTCCCAATGGAGGGTGATGGGTCGCAGCCGACCCAAGGTACGCATTCATGAGCGTCGGCTACTTGATGCTTCCTCTTGTCTTGTGCTTGCGACCAGACGCTAACCATTTGCTTTTCCAGCAACCCAGAATGTCCTCGATCCCAGGCGCATAGGCAAGCAGAACTCGGGCTTCTCAGATGAGGATATCTCCGACATCATCTGCTTGCTCTACCCACACTCCGATTTCGCCCGCCGAGAGATCCATCGTATCGCCAGGGAACATTCGCCTCATATCATAGTGCGAGCAGAGGCAGATGCTGTGGAGCCTGACTACGAGCAGGAAGACAGGGCCGACCAGTTCCAGCTGACACCTCCGAATTCCGAATATGCCGTGATCCTGAGGTTGTCGGCTCAAACGAAGGATCCCCTCAATGGGTTTCTGTTTGGCCGCAACGTCACTCGCTGCGACATATGTTTTGCCAACGACCCGATGAAGCGTTTGAGCAATGTCCACTTTCGCATCTACGTCAACTCGTACGGAGTCGTCATGCTCGAGGACCAGTCCACGAACGGCACCTTCGTCGACGGCACCCTGCTGCGCGCCAAGTCCAAGGCCCCAAACGAGAAATGCGACACGAGGAGGGTCCTTAGTCACGGCTCCAAGGTCAAGATTCTAATGCATCATGAGGCTCACGACCTCGAGTTTTTGGTTAGGTTACCCAAGAGGCAGGGCGAATATGATCGGGCGTACATCTCAAAATTGGAGGAATACTTTGACAATATGGAGCGCTTGCGTCAAAAGCAGAATGAGACCATCACCCCTGGTCCAGGCGGTCACGTCGACCTCTTCAATGCACCTAGAAGACAGCAAAATGCCGTGCCGCGGAGGATAGCGTTGCCATCCGGACCGACCCAGAGCAATACAGAGAGGTTCTCGAGGGAATGGGATGGATCCGGCAAGTACAACCGCATCAATACGATTGGTAAGGGAGCATTTGCCGTAGTATACAAGGTCACCTCCAAATTTGACGGCAACCCCTATGCTGCCAAAGAGCTCGACAAGCGTAGATTCATCAAGAACGGGGTTATGGACCAGAAGGTGGAAAATGAGATGAAAATCATGCAGAGGCTTGAACATGTAGGCTGCGCTTCCCTCCATCTTGCCCGTACCTGCAGATCACTGACCGTGAACAGCCAAACATTGTTCGATACATCGAGCACTTCGACTGGGAAAACCGTCTATTTATCATCATTATGGAGTTCGTTGGCGGCGGCGACTTGGGGAAGCTCATCAGCACCAGGGGGCCCTTACAAGAGAAATCTGTGAAGCAGATGGCATCTCAACTGCTGAGCGCTTTGGCACACTTGCACGAGAATCACATCACCCACAGAGATGTCAAGCCCGACAACATTCTGATTCACTCACTGTCTCCATTCGATGTGAAGCTGACCGACTTTGGGCTCTCGAAAATGGTGGACAACGAGCAAACTTTTTTGCGGACCTTCTGCGGCACACTGCTCTACTGCGCACCAGAAGTATACTCGGAGTACGCTGAATACGATGATCAAGGGCGTCGGCACCCGCGCAACAGGGTCAAGCGCGCTGCTGTAGGGCAAAGATATGACCATGTCGTCGACGTCTGGTCGCTTGGTGGAGTTTTGTTCTACGCCCTCACTGGCTATCCGCCGTACCCCGTTAAGAACGGTGTGAGCCACTCGGAGTTGCTTCACACCATCATGACGCAGCAACTTAACACGACGCCGCTAGTGAGGGCCAACATTTCTCAGGAGGGCATCGAGTTTCTTCGTCTGATGCTGGAGAAGCGACCGGAATGCCGTGCGACGGTCAAGGACTTGCAGTCCCATCCATGGCTGGGGGCTTTCCGAGTCAAGTCGCAGCCAAGCATCGACCAGTCATTTGATGAAATTACGGATGAGGAAGAGGAGCTCCAGATCAACGCCTCACAGCTCAGCTTGCAAGACGGACAATCCCGCACGCTGGCTGACGAGGAACCGCAATTCGAGGATGTAGTCGACGACGACATTGTAGACGACTTCATAGAGGAGGATTCCGAAAAGGAGAACGGCACGTTCGGGCCTCCTGGGCAAGGAGCTCAGCCGAAATTGTTCGGGGAAGTCAATGTGTCGGCTGTTGGAAGTTCCGGGGTAATACCAGAGGACCGCCTCAACCTGGGCGAGTCGAGTATTATTAGCGGTGAAAGCCTGGAGACGGAGATTCGGGACAGCTATGACTCGGGAGACGTCTCGACCATTATCGGACAGAAGCATCCCAGTAGTGGGGCAAGACTATCCGTCTCTGCTGCCGAAGGTCAGTCCGTGGATCAACTGCAAAGCTTGGTCAGGAATGTCGCTTCGCAGAGCCTCGGTGCTACGGAGGCTGATTTCCAGATGATATCTGCAGCAACTTCGCAGGTAAACGGCACATTCTACACCGCCAGCAAAAGGAAGCCGTCATCTGTCGACACAAGCGATGAGTTCGAACCAAGACCTCGGGAGAAGCCAGCCTTCAAACGCCTAAAGTCTGAAGGGAATCTTGATGCCCTGGTGGACCAAGAGATGGAGGAGTACAAGCTTCTTGCTTCAGTGCCACAAATCAAGAGACTCGAATCCGGGCGTCAAATCGACAAGCCTTACAACAAGATTGGCTTCTGGGGAAGCAACCTCGCCAGCTGGCATCTGAGATATCCCGAGATGACCCAGCTCCAATATGACATGTTCGACCGAGCAGCTCAATCACGGGGCGAAAAGTTCGAGCCTGGCCAGTCGCCCCTGTGGGAATTGGCTTTCAAGTACTTCCCTCCAAGCAACGGCCTGCCAGCGCTGCACGTCAACGAAGCGTCAACCATCAACGACACAAAGACAATGCTGAAGCGGGACGATAGAAAGGTTTTGGACGGAGCTGAGTGGGACATTCCTGCCACGGCACCCCCGGCGGAAGAGGATTCGCTTCCAGATACCTTGCCTCCAGAAACCCAAAACATCATCGTTCCGATACAGGAGAGGACGAGGACGAAGCGAGCCGTTGCTGTTCTCGAGTCATCGCCTGGATCGGTCGTTTCTGGAATCTCTGTCCCAGTTAATGAAATCGTCATGTCTTGGGGCAGAGGACCGGAGAACATGATTATATATGATCCAAAGACGGAGATAAGAGTTCCAAAATACGCAGCCAAGATCGTCTTGTGGAAGGATGGCTTTGACCCCAACAGGTGGCGACGGGAACAGCCTTGGGACAAGAACGACACCGGGGCTGGCTATACATTTTATCTCTCGACAAAAGCCACCAACGGCGTTCTCCTCAACGGCTACGGTCTTCCGTCGCACGACTGCAAGAACCCCACCGGTGCAGCTCGCAACTGGATACCCATCTACGATGGCGACGAGATTGTTGTTTGGGGAACGCCTGCCGATACAAGTCAGACCAAAGTCACCTTCCGGTGCTTCTGGGGCGACTCGTCCCGGCCTCGCCCGGAAGACGTACCCCTCCAACGTGTTTCCTCATCGACGGCGCGTAAGCTGGACGAGGCCAGCGCCAAGGCTGAACGGCGAATCCGGACAGACGCGGAGAAGAGTCGGCTTCTGAGCGAGGCGGCCGAGGAGCATGGCGAGAGACGAGCTAACATTGAGAGGGAGCGCGAGCGCAGTCGCTTCTTTGAGGAGAAGCGCCTCGAGGCTGTAAGGTACGTGGCGCTCAGGACGGCATCCAGACGCGGATCGCCGGCCAGCGCGCCCCCGACGGCCATGAGGGGGCAGACACCAGGTTTGGGAGTTCCGTCGCCACTACAGGATTCCCAGAGCCCACCCAAATAGGATGCCGGTAGGGCAAGGTCAGACGTTCGTAGCCCATCATCACGCCACCAAGGATCCAGAAAGCCTGGTCGTGGCAGGCCACCTCGTTGATCCGTAGGTTGGGGGCGCCTTTAAAGGAGCTGAATGGTCGGCGGTAGAAGTTAATGTATAAGGTGCTCAAGCGTTGCGAGAAGAAAGAGAGAGCGAGAGAGAGCACGAATGCAATATCAGTACAGGGCATCATTAGAGTACACGTTTTGGAATAGCCTGCTATGGGCATTCCAGGTTAAGGGCTGGTCAGGATTGGGGAAGAGACGGGAAAAGGTCTGTTCGGGGCAGGCAAGAGTAGGATAGATGACTACGAAAATCATGAATGCAAAAAGACATTGATACCTTGACATTCGCAGTCCGTGCTACGGAAACGCAAGCGAGAAGATGCAGAATCCATCGTTCGAGCTCAGGAGAACGGTCTTCAGTGTCTAATCTAGTCGTCAATTGCTTTTGTCAGAGTATAGCTAGCTAAGTACGATTGACAGTCTGCTGTCTTTTTCCTCAATTCTCTGTGCAGAAAGGTAGAAGGCAGCCTCCACCCAGTGAAGTTCCCAAAAGGAAGCAGTCCAACGGCCATGTAAAAGTACCTCCAATCAAACCCAATATTGATTCCTTGCGGTTGATGCCCAATCCTGTGCTCGAGTACCAAAAGAAGCGTACCCTGAGTTGCTTTGCAGTGGCAATGTGCCCAAAGAGTCTCGAGGTTTCGTTCCCATCCATACCCATACCGCCCAAGAACACTCCTTGCAAAGCCCATACTGCCAGTTTTGCAGCGCACCTCGACGTCGTTGAAGTGACCGAGCTCTGCAATCGCCGCTCTAAGAAACCCGGTAATGCATGAGGTGAAAGTCAAAAGAAGGGGTCTGCTGTCGTTGAATTAAAGCTGCGTGTCGAGCAAGGGTGTCGGTCCGCGGCGAAAGTGTTGATGTTTCAAGAAGCGGGGATAATCAATGAAAAAGGACTAAAAATGACAAACAGAGGGAAAAAAAAAAAAAAAAAAAAAAAGTCGAACAGGCGTACAAGACTGATAATTCCGTAGCAACTTCTGCAAATCGTGTGCGGCAGAAAGTAAAGTCGACAATATGTGTTCGCTGGTGCCTTTGTAGCGCCGGATGGCAATGTGATTGGTTCCGAGCGAGAAAGATTCAGACATCGCGAACTAACTTGTGTGTCTGTTTGATATCTTTGAAAGACATGGTCTGAGGGTGCAGCGTCTTAGACTGAGCTGGTGCTACACCAGGGGACGTAGTCGTCATAGCCGGGGATGAACATGGTCTGGACTTCGCTCTTAGACATGTCGTCAGGGATCTCCATGGCAAAGCCGACAGGGGGGAGCTTCGACTCGTACAACGAAGACTGCGTGTGGCCGGTAGCGGTGGAATCAGAAGGATTGTCGGCGTCGCAGGGAGTCTCGTGCACGTAGTTAGGTGCTTGACGAGTATTGTAGCTGCTTGAACCAGAAGAGAAACGGTTCGATCTGCCAGGAGCTTGGCCTTCGTACGATTGGCGGTGTTGATCCCAATTATTGTTCGCAGAATGCGGATGGTGATCGTGTTGTCTGTTGCGGGAATCGGTGTGATGATGGCTCGAATCCTGACCGTTCCAGGACGATGGCTGGTATGACACGTTGAATGGAGCGCTTTCACTACTTTGATCAGAAGTTTGAGGCAGATCTTGGAAGCCGCGCTGGGGCTCTTCAGTGCTGCTGTTGAAAGAGGCTGGCTGGCGGTTACCAGAACGAGCTGATTGAAAGTCCCAGGCACCACAAGGTTCTGAGAAGCGAGAGCTGTCCGCATGGTTGGTGTAGGAGGCTCCATCGTAGTCGTCAGACCAGCTGGTGTCACGATGCTCTCTGAAGCCATCAGTGGCGTCGACGTGTTCATACAGCGTGGAGGCATCATCGCAGCCCGAGTAGTTCATGGAGCAAGGCTGATTCTCCTTTCCAAGGCTGCGCTGAGAGCTGTTCTCGCCTCTTCGTTGCGACCATCTGTCTCTAGGGTCTGAAGTCCGGTCGTTGAAGGTTGAACCTGAGCCTTGGGATCTTGAAAAGTTGCCGCAGCTGCCGGTCGATCGATCGGTCGAGTGGCAGTCTTTGGCAGTGTATAAAGTACTGGGATGCGATTGCATTGAACTAGCATTGCCAGCCAACGGACTGCAGTTGAAAGTGTTGGGTGCCGCAAAGCCGTCATATCCGACAGTCGGGACGCTCCAAGAGTTGAAGCTTTCCTCATCGACGCTATAATGCTGAAGATGATCGCGTCGGGCACTGAAGCCGTCCGGGTCTCGCAAGGGAGCTTCGAGTGGGATAGCTTTCTTGCCGTCCCCAAGAGCCTCGTGGTACTGCTCAGATCGGAAGTTTGCGTAGCTGTCATCGTTCTCGGAGTGTTCATGTTGCCAATACGTAGGGGACGTGCGAACCTCCACGCGCTCGTTAAAGGTGGCTCTCTTGGACGGGGAAATTTGGTCTGAACAATACGACGATCCGACGCCAATAGCACTGTCTTTCGTATCGTCCACGCGTGGCAGAGGGTTGGCCTGCGGGCTGGGAGTGCGAGGGATATCAGCAGAGGTCTGCTTTACATGCGAAGTCTGGCCGTCTGAAAGTGCCTCTCTGTGATCTGGCTGGCAAGTCGTTGCACTGGAGGTGTCCTCAACGGTCGGAGACTTGTAGCTGCTGTTGGCAACGGATTCGATATTGTCGTGAATGATCCCATCGTGAAGCCCGGCAGTAGACTCTCGAGTAATAGGTGCGTATCGGTCAGAGCGGCGCTTGCGCAGCCGATCCTGGACGGATCTTGAAGGCGAGATATCAACAGAATCATTGCTGAAATTCTGCGAGCCTCCCGCGCTATTTGCAGTACCGTACTCAAGCCTGCTCTGATCATCCGTGTTCGCGTCATGTTGTCGGACAAAGCGGTCAGGAGATTGCGGGCGAAGAGTGTCGTCAGAGTCTTCCTCCAAATTATCGTCGCTCTCATCGGACGACTAGAGCTGTTAGCAAGACTCTACAATGGCATGAAGTGCAGACTCACGAAGCCGAGGACAGTCTCGGCAGGAGTGACTGCCTTTTTGAACTTCCGCTTCATGCAGTGGGCGCAGAAGTTCTTGGCGGGCTGATGGCCGCGTTTGACGGGATGCTGCTTGTTGAAATGGGATGAGCGAGCAAAGCCACAACCGAAGCAAAAATTACCGTACTGCTTCAGCTTCCTGTAGTCACTACTGGCAAGATGCTTTTCGTGGCATGAGTGACAAAAGTTGCGCCAGACTGGTTCTCCAACCCGAAATTTGCGGATCTTGTGATGCTCATCAGAACGGCGGATACCACATCCGCAACAGTAGTAGCCATCATTTTTGTCGTCGAGGTGAACAGGAATCTCGGTCTCCTAGTCGCGGGATTTCTCTTTTCTGACGCTCATCCTGTCGCCCTGTACATCGCTTGGATGGTCACCTTGAACCTGCGTTGTTGAAGAAGTGTACGACGCAGGAGATGCAATCAAGCTCGTATCAGCGTGAGAATAAGTCATGCGGATATCTTGAGGGTAAGCTGACGCGTAGCGTCCATCATTTTCACCGGCTGTAATTCTCGTGGCAGTCTGCGAGGACGCCTTAGAGCCGCTGGTCGCGCGGCTTGATCTAATACGTCTCCGGCGAGGCTCCTCTTCGCGATGCTTGCAATCGTGGTGGTTTTCTGCCCGTTGAGCGTGTCTCCGGTGAGGTGAACTGTCCCTTGCGGCTATTTTCTCTTGTCAGTCTGACCATCGAGAGCGAGGGCAAATATCCAAAAGATCTCACAATGAGAGCGGGAATGCTCCGTTCCGCCTGCTTTGAGAGCTCGCGCGGGCTCTCTCGGCGCCATGATTGCTCTTGATGCCGTCACTTCTTGCAAAGCTTGCGCGGTCCTGCTACAAGAGTCAGTGAGCAATTCGGATGGTATTTTCGTCGTAGGTAGGTTGTGCTGGTAACCAAAGGTTGGAGGTGCGCCGAAGGGTGAGGTGTGGAAGGGACGACTCCGGGGTAAAGTGGGCCAATCAAGCTCCTTCCTCCTGGCAAGACCCCAGAGCTCCGCTCCCACCACACTTGCGCAGGCCATCGACAGCAAGCTAGAAGAACTCGAAGATCCAGGGTAGGTACGTACCGATCGATATTGCCATCTCTCATGGGTGCAAGCCTCTGGGAGGTGCTGCGTTTGCCCCCCCTTTTGAGGGCATTCCAGAGTTTAGCCATGAGCAACTCGGTGGCGGCGATGCATCCGTGCCAGTGAAGAGCAGTGGAAAATGAGGACCGCAATTGAATGCCGATGCCGTACCCGGCTCATCAAATGAGGGAATGAGGCAAAGATACTAGGGGGTAAATGTCGACGCTGGTGGTTGACCACACAAAAGTTGGTGATGAGTAAGTAGAGAGGTCGAGGTCTAGGAGAAGACAATCAGGAAGAGAACAAGCCAGGAGTCTAGCTAGGTCTGATATTAGGGCTACTACCGCTCTGGGGTTACGGCCTGATAATCTAGGACAGGAAACATGAGGTTCACGATGCCTACCCTATTAACAAGACAGTGACTTGGTCTGAGACTTATTGAAGAAGCAGGAGCCCCTCTTGAGTAGATAAGTGCATGAGATCCTAGATGTTCTAGCACATGTACACGTTAGATGCCAGGCCATGGTGTCATTCAAGACAGATGAAAACAGATCGCCTTTCATCTCATAATGTTGCTATAATTTCAAAGTACCATCAATACACATCAGTGGTGAAGCTATCTTCACTTCCACTTGATGGCACACCACTTTAGATCAAAGGGAAAAGCAGAGAGAATGGTCACAAAGAACAAATCATGATCGGATATTGTACATTTACCAGAGTGTGCTTTTTTGTCTACAAGTGGAATCTAATGCCACCTTATCCCAGTCCTGATACAAAGAAATTGAGAAATGCTCTCGGGTAGTCATGGTCAGATCTACCACTTTAGTCCACTCTGAGGACTCTGGGGCCGCGTTTCTTCTTCAGCGCCTTCTTCTTCTGGCCTCTTTCAAAGGCAGCAGCAGCCGCGTGGTCACGGCCGACATTGTCAAGGTCCTTGACCTTGTAGATACGGATGATCCAGTTCTCACTGGTGAAGGCCTCATCCAAGGTATTGAGGGTAGGGCCAACGTCGGGAAGGCGGACACCACGGACACGGTCCTGGGCCTGACCCTGAGGGAAGAGCGAGTTGTAGTTGTAGTACGACATCTTGTACCTAAACGGTTGTCAGTAAGTGTTGCTTAGCAGTGAAGAAGGAGATACTCACATCAAGCTGTTCTTCATGGTCTCAGTAGCTCCGTCGTCGACTCTGTATTCGCCGCGGGGGGTGAAGAACTTGCGCTCCTGAACCTCCTCAGGCCAGATACCCTCAGCGATACGAACCATCCACAAGAACTTGTTGATATCATCTCCGGAGTAGCCCAGAAGACCGCCAAAGACGACAAGCACGTAGTCAACCTCGTGCTGGCGCATGATAGGGTAGCTGACCTCCTCGCGAGAGCTCATCGCCTTACCAACAGTCGCGATGTGAGTGTTGTTCCAGGTGTTGTTGTCAACCAAGGTAGGGCGGTCCGCCATACCACCAATCTGGTAGCCGTAGTCCCACCAAGACATGATCTTGGCGTCCTCCTTGGTGTTCTGGCGGAGCCATTGGTAGGCCTCACGGTAGTCGTCAATGATGTGCTGGCTGCCGTCGGGCATTCTGCTCGCAAGAACGACGGAAGGCGACGAGTAGGCGTTGGAGGTAACCCAGGTGCAGTGGAGAACGAAGAGCAGCAGGAAGATGGACATGCCACCAACAACGAGACCCTTGGACAGGAAGGTGTAGATACCGACAAGGGGCTTGCTGGTCGACTTGAGGCCGCTGTGCTTGGCCTTCTTGGGAGCCGCCTCGGTGGCCTCGTCACCCTTGTAATCCTCAGGGTTAGGAGACTTGGCGACCATGTAGGTGTCCAGGATCGATGAAGCAGCAATGGCAGCTGCAACGCAGACAATAGGGGTCAGAGTGAGCATCAAGCGCACCATGACACCGGCGAAGTAACTGCCGAACAGGGCGTAAACAATGACGAAGACGTGCTCGTCCTTGAGGTCCTGGAAAAGCAAGTAAACACCGGCGGGGAACAGCCAGATAAGCAGGTTGAGGTCGAAGAAGAACGCAGGCCAAGCGGTAGGCTGGTGCTCAGAGACGGATGCGATAATGGGAATGTGAATCTTGGCGTATCCGGTATCCCACAAGGAGTAGAAACGGCCGCCCCAAGGAGCAATGTAGCCGAGAGAGGTCAAGGCGACCAGACCAGCCAGCGCAAGACCGAAAGTAGCAGCCAGGAAGGTGAAGACAAAGGTCTGGAACTGACGGCTGGGAATGGCGCTGCGGACATAGTCGATGAAGGCGATCAGCTGCAGGAAACCGAACATGCCTGTATCGTGCGTGTTAGCTAAGGCGTCATAAAAAAGTGACAATTCGGCATACCCAAAGCAGGCATGTGCTCGCTGGTCTTGACAGGCAGGAAACCGACGAAGGGAATCTGCATGCTGGCCAGAGTGCCCAGAGCGTACCAAGTGGTGTAGCTGACGTAGAGACGGGTGCTGTAGCGGCCCATGCAGACCAAGGTCAAGGCATGTAGAGGAAGCATGCAGGTGATGAAGGCATAACCACCCCAAGAGGCGACCATGTAGCCGTAGGCGAGGGCGCAAAGAGCTCCCCAAAGCATGGAGCCCAGCTTCAATGCCTTGATCCACAGGTAGAAGGTGAAGACGAGAAGGAAAATGGCGATAGCTTCGTTGTCGTAACTGCCAGCAACGGATCGAGAGATGTAACCGGGAGAGATACCCATGAAGGCCGCAGCAAGGAGACCGGCCGAAGGGGATGTGGTCATCTCATTCGTAAGAAGGTAGGCAGCGTAGGCCGTGAGGCCGGAGAAAGCGGGCGCGAGAAGAACGCAAATGTTGCGAATATCGACGGGGACGGTAAGAGCTCGAAGCGCGTGGTAGATGGCGCCGCTGGTCACCATCAGACCAGGGTAGAGGGTTCCTCCAGTAACCCGACCAAGAGGATGCCATGTGCGGTCATCAAACCAATCCCAGAACTTGTAAAATCCATTGGCTACAAGGTATCTGGTGGCTCTGAAGTTGAACCAGGGGTCGACTGCGGATAGTCAGTACGTGGCTGCAGGAAGGAGGTCGCGACGAGGGAAACCGACATTCGTGAATAATACTCTCGAAGCCTGTTCAATCGAGATTAGCATAATTTCTTGAATTGAGAAATGCAATGCATGAAGCAGCCACCAGTCGGCCAATTGGCGCTGGAGGCGATCGGGAGCAACGTGTCGAGGGGCACTTACGAATGACGGAAAAGAGACGGCTTGCAATGGCGGCAGCTGCGATCAAGCCCAAGATGATGACTCTGAGAAGAGTTCTTGTGTTCTGCGCGCTGCCTCCGGAGAGGGTTTCCAGAGGTTGGGCCGTCATCGTGGCCACGGGTGGTGAAGAAAGGCAGTGGCCGTGAAGTTGGTGAAGATTGCGTAAGGTACGGGATTGTAGCTGGCGACGACCACCTGTCTCACAGAGACCTGAGAAGGACAGCTTGGAGCTTATACACCTGAATCGGTTGTGCAGGGGAGGTGCGCACGGTCCATGGGGAGCCGCCGTCCAATCCGTCCCACTGGCAGTTGCGACAGTCGCGGCTTCCGTCAGCCATTCAGGAAGGAAGGGGTCACGTGCTTCGGACTAAGGATTTCCCAGCGACGTGGGAGCCGAGCCCAGCTGTGGGTTCAGGTTCCCGTCCTGTCCAGGTCCGGGGTGGCCGGTGCTCCGGCTCTCGGCCGTGACAGTGAGATGGCAGAGAAGATGCGCTTGACAAATTGAAGTAGTGTCGATGTCAAGTCCTGGGTAATCGTTATGTGGCTTTTGCTAAAAGTCTTTCTGATCCCACAGATTTGCGTTGTGGAAGACCTAAATTATTCCCAACGTGTCTAGAATCAGTATCCCTAGATACAGTTCAACGTGGTAATCAATGGGCAGCTTGCATGCGACAGCTTTCCAAAGATAACACCAAAAATACCAGACGTCAGCTCCAGCATATCTGGCGAGTTTATTGAGGGGTTGCAAGGCAACTGCATCCTCTACAATTCGTGGGGCTCGCCCTCAAGGCTAATACCATGCCTTAACGTATCTAGGTGCTTTGTATACGATGATTCCTATCAAGACCGTGTTGTATTGTACAGAAGAAATTTTGATTGATGGAATCCAATGGCTCGTTCCTTGGAATTGTCATCTAGTAAAGCGTATTGTACACATGTACATCGGGTAAACAGAGGCGTAAGGAAAATGTCTATGCAGTAACGTCGGGCGTGGTGCCAACCATGCACCTACTGCAGCCGAAAGACCAGATTATGCGTCCCTCGGTGGACTCTTTGTGTTCTTTTCGCGCAGGCGTATTCCCAATCCTGACCCCGTCTATCCGTTGTGCAAGCCGTCCTCTCCCCTCTCATACAATCCCCCACCTCACGGGTTCTGCTTCACCAAGTTGTTGAAGTAGGCCTCAAGATCAAACTTGGGGTCCATGGGGTCAACGTTGACTGCGCGGGCAGTTAGTTTCCAGACTCAACAGCTAGCTGACATCCAGTGTGTCGCGTGCGAATTGCGCAAATGTGCCACTGCAAAGCCCTCGGCTAAGGAATACGCACCTCCGGCATCCGCAGCCTTAACGGGCGAGTTCTTCTTTGCGAACTCGGCCTTGGCCTGCTCTATCAACTTCTCCTTGCGCTCATACTCCTTCTGGGCGGCCGCAGCCTTCTGGCTTGAGGTGATGGATCTTTGGTGTGTGAAGCCGTAGAAAATGCCCAGGCCGAGGGCCGTGTAGCGGAGCACCTATAAAGTCCATCAATCAGCCAATGATTCCTGAATACTATAACAATTATCGGTTTCGTGGTCGGGTCGGGTGACGATGGAGGCTTGTCGGCTCAGGGAGGAGGTGGTAGCTGAAGGGGGGGTCTCGCATCAAAGGATGCAGGCCGAGGGCGAGAAATAGAACGATAGGCGGGCGGCACGTACGTTAACTCCTGAGGAAGACATTGAGGGCAATTGCGTGGATTGCGCGACTGCTTTCAGGAGGGAGCGAGCGATGGAAAGGACAGTGCGCGGGTTGACAATGGCTGCCAATTGACCCTATTCGGAGCTCTGTCGAGAGGGAATTACGTTAGAGACGCAAGGTGTGAAGTTTTGAAAATATGCTCGGGAAAACTCGCAGATTTTCCACTGCTAGGCCGTAAGGTCACTCCGGGCCTTGGAGCTCGGACGGGGGATTCCAGCCCAGCAGCATCCATCGCTAGTGGCCAGCGGCTCAGCACCAGGTCGACATGCTGAGCGGGAGCTTACAGCGGCTGCTAAGGAACTTTCCATCGCTGCGTGGCAGGGGCCCTTGGGGGAGGTTTTGCCGGTCCTTTGCCGAAACGGCCCAATCACGTGCACTAATCTGCTTCGAAGGTTAGCTCCAGCGCTGTGGAAATATCCCCAGGCCGCTGTCTTTAAAGGGACCAGTGCAACTTTAATGCAGGGGCAGCTAAAGTACCTCTCACCAGTTAATTAGCAGACAAGGTACCTCTTCAACAGGGCCCGGGGTTCCTGCTGGAATCGCGACAGGAAGGACAACGCGCATTGAAAGGAATCCCCATCAAACCAAACGACGCTACCGCCTCCATTACAAACATTCGTCACCCGCAGATCTTCAACAGGAGTCAAGCCCTCTCGTCCACGCAGCCTGTTGACCTTCTCAACCCATCTGCGAAGTTCATCCACTTTCGCAACAGTCGGACCCTTCACCCGCGATTCCTCGTCACACTTAGCAAGCGAGTCCCGCCATGGGAATAAGGAGACAATAAGATGCAACAGAGACGAGATGAAATCTTGGCGAAGAAGGCGAAGCTCGCGGAGCTGAAGCGGCAGAGAGAACTCCGCGCAACTCAGGCCACAGCAAGCCGGGGAAGCTCAGGGAGTCCAGGCGATGTTGGTTGAAGCTGAACTCCTGCCCGCGCAGCTTGCTAATGTGTACGCAGCTAGTGTCGCCTATCCCAGGACGAGCCGAGAACCGCCGCGATATCGAAACTTTGATCAACAGCTTGGTCGGAGAAAGTAGGCCTGGATCCACGACAGGAGGGGCTGCGTCGCCGGCTCGTAGGGGCAGTCGGCCGAACAGTGTCCTGAGCGCTGGCGAGCTGAGCATCGATGCGGCTTCGGAGTTCACGACAACTACCAGTGGCGTACCACCTCCATCCTCGGTTCCAGCTGCACCACATGTTCAATTGAGCCTCACTACCGCGCCTCTAACCACGATATACGAATGCCCGCCCTCTCCCGTGAAGGAGGTACATTCTTACAGCAAAGGAGTGCAGACGGCCGAGGATTGGACCCCGCCTACACGAGACAGAGGTCAATCGTTTTCCGATGATGAGGAGCCACCCGTCACGTCGACACCCAACAAGCGGCTGAGTCGCCGACAACGCGATAGGGAAGAGGAACTGAGACAGGATATCAGAAGGGAGGTCGAAGAAGAGCTGAAGGCGTCACTGGATCTGCTCAAAGATGGGGTCCTTCCTCACGATGCGCCCGCCAAGGTCAACTATCCTATGCGCAAACTTACTGGCGAAGAGCTGGAGGCTGTCACCGGTGCTCCCGACTTTGCAGACTTCCTTGAAAAGTCAACCAAGGTCATTGAGAGAGCATTGGACCAAGAGTACGATATTCTCACGGACTACGCACTCCAAGGCCATGACGTGGACGACGAAGATGACGAGAGCGGTAATGTCGGAGGCAAGGGCCGGCGGAGAGTCAAAGAGGTGGCTCAGTTCTACGATGAGAGGTGGTCTAAAAAGCGAATGATCAGCAGCATCGACTTCTCACACCACCATTCTGAGCTGATGCTGGCGTCATACACAAAGAACCCTACTGCCCCGCATGAGCCGGACGGCCTGGTCCAGGTATGGAGTCTGGCTCTGCGAGACAGACCGGAATATGTCTTCCACGCTCAGTCTGATGTTCTCACCGCCAAGTTTTCGCCGTATCACCAGAATCTCATTGTTGGTGGCACATACAGCGGCCAAGTCCTCCTATGGGATATGAGAGCGAAATCAGCGCCCGTTCAGAAAACGCCTCTCACAGGATACGGCCATACGCATCCCATTTACTCCGTAGACATCGTTGGTACGCAAAACGCAAACAACATCATCTCGACTTCTACGGACGGTGCGGTTTGCGGTTGGAGTATGGACGTGTTCGCCCAACCACAGGAGTTGCTGGAGCTCAAAGCGCCCCCTGGATACAAGTTGGACGATGTGAGCCCTACATGTTTGGCGTTCCCGCAGACCGATCCTACCTTCTTCCTTGTCGGCAGTGAGGAAGGCACAATCTTTCCTTGCCACAGATACGACCGCGCCGGTGCGAAGGCTGGTGTAGATGCTAGAGTCAGCTACAAGGGCCATACCGCGCCGGTCATGTCCGTCGACTTCCATCCCGCCCGAGGTCCCGTGGACCTGGGTGATCTGGTACTCTCTTCCTCCCTGGACTGGAGCGTTCGTTTGTGGAAGGTTCGCGCGCCGGCTGCAACATCGACAGCTGGAGGTGAGCCATCGGTCTCGCCCCTCATCGACTTCGTGCGGGAAGACGTCGTCTACGACGCGCAATGGTCTCCGATCAAGCCTAGCGTTTTCGCGTTGGTTGATGGAGCAGGATGGCTGGAGCTGTGGGACATCACCGTGGAGACCGAGGAGCCTGTCGCGAGAATTTCGCCAAGCTCTCGCAAGGATGGTAGGACCATGCTTGCGAAGAGCTTGAATAAGCTTGCCTGGGAGCCGTCCGAGGGCAAGCGTCTGGCCACGGGAGGTATTGATGGAGTTTTGACCGTCTTCGAGGTGGCCTCGGGTCTCGGTGGCAGGGACGATCTGAAGGCAGAAGAGTGGACAAACGTGAAGAAGCTGGTCAACAGAGTTGAGGCACACGGCCTGAATGGAGCGATGGTGTAGAGAACTACTGTGGACTTTGCGTGTACTCATTCAGGGTGGGAGTCACAACTATTCGATTTGTTGGTAAAAGGCGTCTTCCTGTATACCCTGATACCGTGAGCAGCAGCATTCAGCATGCCAATTTACTAGATGAAATCTTCAGCTTCTCAGTCTGTCAACCGCTAAACATATGCTTTTGTTCATTAACATGAGTACGTAGTCGGTTTCCACCATACCCTCTCCACACGTCGCCAAGAGAGCAAGCATTACCGGGATCGTCTGCTTAGTCATCACTTGAATAAATGAGCTTAGCCGAAGCTGACTTTTTTCGCCCATTTTCTCATCAACATCTTCGTACATTTTGCTGCAAACGTAGCTTGTCTGCAGGTCACGCAGGCATTCCACAGTCATGGTAAGTTTATTGCTGACATCTCTTACTTCACTGGCACTATGATGAGCGAACAAGAATTCTGCAATGCTGAAGGCCTTCCGGCCGTCCTGTGGATAAAATCTTTGCCTCACATGCAACTCTGAGCCAAATCTTATTATGCCCCTGTTCAATTATCTTACTTGACGTACAGAGAGCCGGGCTAATATTTCAAAGCATTCAAAACAGATGATATAGGTCTCTCATGTGTTGATGGGAGCTCCGGCAGGGTAACGACCACCGGCAACCTCAAACTTGGCCAGTGTCGCGTCAATCTCTGCCAGCTCCCCGTCTGTAAACTCCACTGCTGCTGCCTTCGCGTTCTCGTTGACTCTATCCGCCGTTGTTGCGCCGGGGATGGGAATTACCATGGGCATGCCGGGCTTCTTGGAGATGGCCAGGGTCCAGCCGATGGCGAGCTGAGCGGGAGTGACACCCTTCTTGGCCGCCAGCTCCTCGACCTGCTTGACGAGCTTGAGGTTGATGTTGAAGTTTTCCGGCTGGAAGCGCGGCATGTTGCGGCGGAAGTCACCCTCGGGAAGGTCCTCGAACTTCTTGATCTCGCCGGTCAGCAGGCCACGGCCGATGGGTGAGTAGGCGATGAGCGGGATGTTGTGCTCCGCGCAGGCAGCGGCAATGCCGTTAGAGAGGACGTCGGTCGAAAAGAGGCTGAGCTCGACCTCGACGCCGACAATCTTGGCGTGCTTGACGGCCTCCTGGATCGTCGCGGCAGAGACCTCGGAGAGGCAGAGGCCGCCGACCTTGCCGGTATCAATGTACTCCTTCTGGATGACGCCGAACGTGACTTCGAGGGGCGTGTTGGCGTCGCGGCGCGCGCACTCGAAGATGTCGATCTTCTTACGGCCCTTGAGCTGGGTGATGATGTTATCCAAAGAGCGGCAGATGCCTTCCGGCGAGCCGTCTGGGTGCAGGTTCTGAACATTGACCCCGCCCTTCCAGCTGACGACGACCTTGTCAGCATCTTCGGGGTACTTTGCAAAGTAGCGCTCGAGGAGCGTCATGCTATTGTAGTCTGGCTTTCCGTAGAATTCGCCCGCATTCCAGAAGTTGTTGCCATTCTGAAGGGCGGCACGCATGGCCTCGAAGGCTTGTTCCCCAGGAGCAGGCTTTGCGCGCCAGGTGAGGCCCATGAGACCATAGCCGATGGGGCCAATTTCTTGTCCGTTAATTTGAACCATTGTGGTGGTGCTATGCGAGTGCTCGTTTCAAGTTACTTTGAGTGACTTATCGTGGCTGCGGGGTTATGGTTCAGTGTAAATGATGAGTTGTGCAGGTTGCTGTTGATTGAGAGGATTGAATCGGCGGGGGGCTTGAAGACGTTATATAGACGCCTATGGAACGTCTCAGTGTGATATCACCAACTTGGGTTCTCACGGGAGCAAACTGGGCCGCTGTGGACAAGTACCGAAGAGCAGCCTCAAATCATGACGATGGCGCGAGGTACATTCGTGCCGCCAGCGCCGTAGCTCCGCCGGCCGTGGGGGCGCCTGAGCAGTGCTGTCGTTCATTGGAGACGTTGGGGTGAACGCCCATCGGCTTTAGCTACAAAGCAAATCCTCCATTTCCGATCGGTCGGGATTGTCTCCAATTGAAGGCGAGACCTGGACTCAAGCTTCTTATCAGCGTTGATC